GAATTGGAGTACCTTTTTTATCAAATCAGTTATATGTCTTTCCATTTGTTCTAACGGCTTCAAGAGCTCATTTTTAATCGGAAAAACCTGCACACAATGTCATGCAGAACCACTTACATGCATGCGGGAGATACACACATGGACCTAAATCAAATAAGACATTCAGTTAAATTATCACCTTGTCTCTAATAAATATTAAGGTTCTCTCACGAAGATTTTCATCAGTCATCTGCTCGTCAACACTCTCTATGTGCTTAAAGAGAGCTGTCAAGGAAGCTGCCCAAATTTGATAAAAATAAAATCAGATATAACATCACAAAAAGATACTCATGACAGGCAATGGGTACTCCATGTAGAAGTTGAACATGCATAAGTTTAATTAAGAGAGACAAACGGATACCAAATTATGTGAGGGTGGATTATGAACTTATGATCTATAAGAATCACAGAAACCCTTCTTTAGGTTTTCTTGTCCATCCTGTTGTATTTTGGGACACCACGGGGAGGAGGCCAGGAGATGAAAGAAACACATGGCATATGATGAAAAAACACATGTCATAAGAGGTGAAATTACACAGAAACCCTTATTTAGGTTTTTCTGCATAAACGACTCTTTGCTTTACGTTTCAAATGAAGGTTGTGCCCCGTAGCTCTAGCCGGGTTTTCCAATTTAATAAGTTTAAAATACTATTGATTTGTTAACAAAAAATCACATAGACATGAGATGCTATGGTGTTTTGTTTGCTTGAATAATCATTTTTCAAGTCAAAGACACAGTATGAGTTCATATTTATTCAAGGTTAAAAGCATGGCATGTTTCAATTAAATAAAAAAAGAATCATAATATTCCTGACATTATATAGATACTTGCCAATAGAAACATTATCATCAAAGCGGTCAATTCTTAAGCCAAACCGATGATGCATCGAACTGGTTGCTACATTTCTTTAAATGGTGAGGCAATCGATTAAAATACATCAGCTTTTCTTACACTCTGTATCAAATTCCAAGTTTTCGTATGATAAAATTATAAATGACAAACATTCTGTATCAAATCTCCATGTTCTTGTATTACAAAATGATAAATAACCACAAACTTATGTTGAGTTCAAAAAATTAAGGTGTGTTTGGTTCTCCAAGTAAGAAATAAATAATTTTGAACCTTATAAGAAGACAATGACGTATTTTGACCTCTTTGAGATGAGTAAATTACCTTTCACATCCTGCCTCAACAAGGATAAAAGAGCTTTATGCACTGCATCACGTTCCACATTTTCTTCTGCAAGAACCAAAAAATATTAGGACATGAAAATTAAAAAAACTTCCCAAAACAATCTCAAAATGGAACTGAAATTATGGAATTTAATTACCAGCTGTAAGAAGCTGAGCAAGTATGTCAACTATTTTGGAGAGATTTTCTGGTGTATCCTTGCAGAAAAGCGGAAGTCCACGAATGGCTTGCACTCGGATCTAGAAGTGATACATTGGCAAAACAATTCAAACAAAAATCTGAAAAAAAACATCTAATATAGTATGCCCTTGCTAAACCCATCTAATATGAAGGAAAATGACAAACATGAGCATGTACTGTATGAATGATGAATATACTGAAAGTAAATATAAGAACGGCAAAGGATGCAGCCCAGAATTTGTTTTTAATAAAAAATTAAAAGATGCAATCAAGTTATACAATTTGTTTCATACAGGTCCTCTTAACAACACAATCAGATTAAGTATAACAAGCTATCACAGCATATAAGTGCGGTGGAAGCAACAACCTTTGTTCCCAATGAAATTTGGGTTTAGGGTTTGACGTGTTGTGAAAATGACTTCATCAGTTAGGGGTAAAGGGTGTTTATACTAGACCACCCCATCAAGGGCAGCACTCATTCTATTGGTTTTTTAAGAATGAAGAAGATGAATCACAGCCTTCAAATCTTCACTAAGACTCCAATAAATAATGCACTGTAAGCAAAAAAAATTTCCCCCAAAATGGCCTACTCTACAGCAAAATTTCAGCTCCTAAGTAAAAATAGAATGAAATGCCCAAATAAACAGAAAGAGGAGCGGATGAACTGACCGCAAGCTCTTCGGCTTCACACAAATCGAGATGGACATCCACAGCTGCGACAGACAAACTGGGGAAGAACTTGAAGAATCGAGGGATGAGCTGCGCAGCCAATTGCCTCGCCTTGACGCTGCTGCTTTTGGCCGTCGTGAGTATACTCTCGTAGTCCCCGACATGCTATTGCAAGAAACAGGAACGGAATTAGCAGAGTGGAGGCACAGACACACAAGCGGGGATGAAACCCTAGGAGGACGGATGGAAAAGGCAACGCGGAGGGGAGTGCGAGAAAGTACGGACCTGGGACTTGTCTTTGGCCTCGTTGAGGCGTTCGCCATACTCGTAGAGCTTCTCGATGTCGTTGGCCTCGTCCGACGACGCATCTGCCATTTTTGCTCGCTCGAGCAGACTATTGACTGCCGGTTCTGCGGTGGGTGACGGACGAAGATTAGAAGTTTGGGAGGGCGGCGCGATTGGCTAATTTTGGGCTCTTGGCTGTCAATACTTGAGGTGGAGTTTTAAAAAAAATCAGACTTTATCATGGAACTAGAGAGAAAAATGGAAAAAATCTGAAAAAATCTTTGAATTTTCATACTCACTCACAAAATTTCTAACTCAATCTACCTAATAAAAATCAGATGTGTGCAATCAACAATATTTATTTTTTGAAAATAAAAACTAATTACAATTATTTTGTAAAATCTAAATACATTAAAAAAACAAACGCGTTTAAAACATTATAAAATCAACAAGAAGAACCACAACCAGTAGAATCCCGCAAGAATAAGGTATGTGTACACAGACCTTACCCAGAGAGGTTATTTCAAAAAAAATTCAGATCAAACAATATAGAGAACAACTAGTACAACAAAAAAACCAAAGAACAAACAAAAAGGGAAGAAAACAAAGGCACATAAATAGACGTAAAAAAGAATTACCTCAAACCTACAAAACACACAACAAAGAGAATAAAACTATCACCGCGAACAAAACGACTAACCAACAACCATAATTCTAAATCTCCAAGCATTCTTATTTAAGGGCATATCCTCAGTGAGAGGTAAAAGTCCTAAATCATGCCTAATAACCTGATTTCAATTCTTTCTATGCCTACCCCCTTCCCCTAAACCCACTAACTATAGAAAGTCTCTCACATCTACGCACTAGGGACTTCGGTTCATGCCACTTCACGTGACCATTGCATCTCAACATGGTCTCTCGCAACTCATCCTCCATAGGTGTCACTCACAATTGCCTTTCAATAACCTCATTCCGAATTCTATCCAACATCGGATGTCTACAAATCCACTGAAGCATACGCATCTCAGCTGAATGGAGTTGACGAACGTGGGCTTTCTAGACCACCCAACACTCCGCTCCATAAAGCATAGCCAGCCTGACTACGAACCGATAAAACCTACCTTTAATTCTTTTTGAAATCTTCTTATCGCACAGAATCTCTGGCGCCAACTTCCACTTTATCCAAGAATTATAAAACCAAACATGTAGAAAACGAAAAAACATTATATTTGTTGTACTTTTATTTATAATTTATGAAATTTATATGCAAATTGTGTAAAAAGGTTATGGAAAAACCTTATGCTTTTATTTTATGCAATTTATGCTTAAAAAGTTAAGAAAATAAAAATGTTTGTTGTTGTATTATCTAATTTATGTGTGTTAACTTTATATTCCGTGTTATTTTCTCTATTTTTTTATAAATACACTATAATGTTTTATCATGTTGAATATTTTTAATGGTTAGTTATACAAGTATTTAAAAATAAGCTTGATAAAAAAAATCAATGTATAATAAAATTATATATTAAACGTAAATTTAATATAAATAAAGTCAATAGAATAAAAGATAGTGGAATGTTGATGTCACAAAATTTGAGAGTCTGAGGGTTGAGGTAATTTTTATTAAAGTTCGGAGAAGAGTCTGAAATAATAATATATTGATATAGTAGAATGTGAAAGAATATCAAGGCTCTCTTCATTCGGATGCCCTAAACTCGGGTGATCATGTGATTTGAGAAATGAACACTAATAACTAAAATCATCACTATTCATCATCCACATATTCTCTTTTGCATCATCATTTTTTAATTTTTTGCTTTTACTTTCATTACCACATTCTATTCATTTCTCTTCTTTTTATCTTTATTTCAGAATATTTATTTTATTTTCAACCAATCAAATTTAATATATTATTTTACACCTAAACGAAAAATTTCTCTTCAAGAGCATTTTATTCCCCTCCTAACTATACCACCTCCATTTCCCCCACCCTCTCTAACTATTCTCGCTTGCCACATAAACAATTTTACTCCTATACACCCCCTTCAGCGATGCTCTAATACTCTATTTCTTTTCAATTAATATTAAAATATTAATGATTTCAAAAGAGTGCATATGTGGGTGAATTTCCATATGCATATTAAGTTTGATGAGAGAAAAAGACCAAAATATGACGAAAAATTTAAAAAACATATCAAGAAGACAAAAATAGGACCTCCTTTTTCTTATCTCCGAAATATGACATAAAAATATCAAAAATCATTTTGTAAAATCTCACTTGTCACACCATTTTTTACACTAAAGACAAACATGAACAATAACTGTCAAGTATTTCCATTTGTTTAATCCCAATAATCAGTTGGGGTCTCAGAACATTTACTTGGATGAAATGGAGCTTGGGTCAAGAATCTTATGCAATCAGAAAATTTGAACAAAATTGTAAAGATTTTTTTTTTCAGACATCGGTTAGATAAACTTGTATGGGTGTTGGCATTGACGAGCACTCTTGAGTGACGGGAATAAGAATGTTGAAGTAAATATGGTTGGAAATGTAAATACGTGAGAACAAGTGAGATGCATGATACTAAGCAACCAGTACATTCAAATCCTTAGAAAATCCTTTCAAAGCTTTAGCAAATTCATAAATCCAGATGCTTCAGCAAATTCTTTCCAAGCTTTAGCAAATTCAGAAATGAGAAGCTTTAGCAAATTCAAGAAAGGAAATCTCTGAAGCTTTTAACACCAAATCGTGATTTATTCTTATGACTACATACCAGAAACATCTTGGCATAAGAACTTCCAGTTAGAGTGCACTGCTCCACCCTTGAAGGAATCATGAGGGCACTTTGGACATTTCCACCATGAAACACTCATGCAAATGCACAGCAAGATCACATTTGCGAAGCCCAAACTCAGACTTCAACATGTACTAACACTTCCGCTTCAGCTACAGAATGGGCATTTCCAACGCACGCAAAACATCCTCGAACACAAACTTGCGTGTTTCTTTGTTGAAGCGTTCGACAAGTTTGTACCTCGTGTCGTTCAGGTAGAAGGAGTGTGCGGTCTCCAAGAGCCATTTGGCTTCAGAATCACTGAGTTTGCTGGTGAAGACAACATCCCCACGGACAAGCACCAGATCCTTGCTTTCGGCAAATTCTGTGTAGTAAGAAATGGTGAAGTATGGGGAGGCTTGTGTTCCTCTTGCCTTGTAGTCTTCAAGCCCAGTTATGAGGATATGTGGTGTCTGTACTGTACAAACCATTCACAGGAGTAATTAACAGGAAAATTATGGTTTTAAATCCATATATCAGTAAAAACAGTTCTCAAGATATTATATTCCATCTGCCTATAAACAAAAGATTCTTGTTTCAAAATATTTTTTTGCCAACAAGCCAAGTTTTAAATATCAACCTTCATTTTAATGTAAAATTGCCATAAAGCAAAGCACCAAATGCTTTTGTTTGATTTCTTCAAACATTCTTTGAAAAAAAGAGGGGTGTAGGTGACCATTCATAATTGGTAAAAGCTTGTACCCTGATTGAGTTGGCTAAAAATAAAAAATTGTACCTTACTAGTTACTATAACAAAACTCTTTTTTGAGAGGGAGGAAACTCCGCAACTCTATTCGAAAAAATAAGATAATTTCTGTAGTTCTGACCTTGTACGAACATTGTTGAGTAGCCAGTCCCTCTCCAAAGTGGGATCACAAAATATCGGCTGTGAATGATATAACATTGATGAATCACAAATGAATGGAATGGATAAAAGCTTATGTTGAGGTGGAAGATAAGAATAGATTACCAATCTCCAGATCTTTGCTCCAGAAGATGGTATAAACTTGCTTTCATTGAAGCTCCAATATGACCTCTTCCCAAGTGGTACTGTCATCGGATAACAAAGGCGATAAGAAAGCACAAATAGTCAAAAAGATTACTGTATACAATAATAACATCTTAGTATTTAACAGGCATAATACAAACGAGGCTCGAGCTAAGCGTAAGACATACTCCCCACCCCACTACTTCCTATATATAGGCCCTGTTTTTTTGGGTTGGAATTTCAGAGTTGGATGTTGGAAGATACTGGAAAGAGTTGGAAAAAACTAAGTGTTGGAAAATGTTGGAAGAATTTTAGTATTAAAAAGTCACTTAATTAAATGATCATCCAAATAAATATGTAAGAAAACTCAAATTTTGGATAAAAAAGAATTCATCATTGTCCGTGTTTGATGTGATATGTAATAAATTTGGATATATAATGTTATTTCATATTAATCATATATAAATACCTTTTTAAGTCGTTGTGGGAAGAAACTGGAAGGAGTTTGAAGGAGTTGGAAGTTAATTTTTCCAACCCAAAAGAACAAGGCCATACTCTCTCTTATACTCATTATTTGAGTGATACAATTATTCTATGAGCTTGACATGATGCCACATGAGTCCCAAATGGATGCTCAGCCACTGAAGTGAGTAGATGAATTCAGGACCTCTTGTTGTCATTATCTATTCTTTTCCAACACAATAATGTTTAAAATATGTGAATGTTTTCTACATCAAAATGCAGTGAATCAGTCGCAGATGCAGCAAAAAAGAAAAACATCGTAGGTCAGAAATGCACGATCAAAACATCAATGGTTGAAAAGAAACAAAATTTACAGGAGGGTGTGTGGAGGGAACTTTACATCACTCCATATTTCAGCAAGTTCCTCAGCAGATTTGGTCTTTGCCCTCTCAACGTCCATAATCGAGTCAAGTGGCTTTGGCTGCAAAGGATTGAACCCAGTGGCAAATCTTGATGTTCTACAGAAACCAAGCGAGCTCCATTTCAATAAGTTACTGGGGAGAACATTTTTCTGCAATTTATCCAAATTCCCTGGCAGAATAGAAATGCTGCGATGCTTTTTTGCTGCCACCGTGAATTGGGAAGAGCAAGAGCCATAACCGCAAAAGTTTGTCGTGGAGGGACGCGATAGCCTTGCGATCTTTACCAACCGTTGCATTATGAAATCCTTGAGCCTGTGCAGAGCTATTACAACTAGTCAAAGAATTGATAGCTCCGAGTTGCTTTGACTCACTTGAGACAACGGGTAGACTGCATACATTATGAAGATAAATCATAAATGGTGTAACATCTGTTTCGTAATTCCAAATTTATAGGTGTGTTTGGTAAATAACAGTTAGCAAATAGCAGTTGCCAATTTGTATTAGCATATTTGACTAGCAGTCTGCAATTTCTAAAAAGATGCGGAGTATTTGGTAACAAAGCATAATTTTAAATAAAATAAAATAAAATATTGAAATGTTGTCTTTCACAAGGGACAATTATTGGAAAATTAGTTTCGCACATTAATACATTGAACTGTTGGTAGTTTGCTTTTAACAATTTAATTTTTTGCTTGATTGGTTTTTTCCAAATGAATAGAAACTTACTTACACATGAGCCTTAAGAAACAGCAATCACCAAGAGGCATTGCATAACACAACAAAGAGCATACTAATGCAGAAAGACAATAAGCTGTAAGCTATTCTTTATACAACTTTTGATTGTGATATTAGATCAGAATTGACAATGCAAAGCTTAATACCAAATGGGTTACACATCCTTGTAATGTTATTATTATATCCTTGATCATTTCCTAAATCAAGTTATAAACTCATTTATCTAAGGGTAAAATTCTAATATCAACATGTGTCCCATGAGGTAAAGTTGAATTTTTTTAAGACACCAAAATCACTCAATCTTAGTGCAACAGGGATTCAGCAGCTAAGGAGAATCGTGTTGAAATACACTAAGCTTTGACAAATTAATAAAGAAAATTTCATAAATTCAGAAATGGAAATCTGAACCTTAAGCAAGTCCGTTAGAATCTTTAGAAAATCTTTTGAAACTTTAGCAAATTCATAAAAGGGAATTCAAGAAAGGAAATTTCTGAAGCTTTAGCACCAAGTCGTGAATTATTCACCAGAAATCCGACGCAGGATGGCCATAAAATTTTGAATTTTAAACCAAAAATCTAACCTTTATTCCTGTCAGATTGAAGCTGCTCGAAAGAAGGGAGGCAATCAAAATGTAGCCTTTTATGCCTAGTCCGTCATCGAAGAAATCAAGATTACAGACGATGGCTACCTGGGAGAGTCGCCAGTCACCGGAAGAAGAAAGAAACGGAGAGAATAGGAGATCAGAGATGCGTCCAGGCGTGGAAGACGGAGAAAATTCCCAAATAGGAAAAAAAAACTAAAATATCCCGCCACTAGGGTTTTGTTTTTAATCTAAAAAATTATTCCTAACTTAACTTATTTTAATAATTTTCAGCATTTTACATTATTTAAAATATATTTTACAGATATTTAAAATTTATAATAATGTATTATGAAAGGTTCATTCTGTGTATTTGGTCGTTAGGGTCAAACGTTCGGTTAATTAAGCACTAAACAATTTGTTTAAATTCCTCACGTTTTCGGATAGGAACTTACAGATGTCACATTATCTAAAATGTACTATATGAGCGATCGCATTAAACTTTAAATTTAATAGTAATTAGTTTTATTGTATTTGCATAAACTTTCCGTTTGCAGATTTTCCTCTTGCTAATATTAATACTACGTAGTACGAAGTACATTTTACATTGAAAAATCATTATTTTTATCATACGGAGTATTTTAATAAAATATTTCATTTCCCGATCTTTTTCTTTCTAACTTAAAATAATTTTTATCTTATATGTTACAAAAACTCATTATTTTAGTTAAATTTTTGTCACTTTTACACATTTTTTAAATAAAATAATTTACATCATTTAAAAGTTAATTTAAACCTAGTATTTTGAAAAAACTAAAATTATTTAAACCTTTTAAAATTTAAAATTATTTATAAATTCAAGTATTTATAAATTTTTAAGTTTTTTCTAAAACCAATTTTTTTAGTATTTGAAATTGAAGATATGTATAATGTAATTAAAAATTCAAATTAAAATGTTACAAAATATGTATAATAAAATTGTGTTTTGTTATTAATACATAACTAATGTAATAGTTTTTTTAAATAATTGCAATAATAATTATTTAACTTAGAAAGTGACTTTTTTACCAAAAACTAATTTAGTACTTTGGAGCATTATTTTTTTAGCATTTACTTACATACATAGTTGGAGATGCTCTTATGAAGTGAAATGGAGGAAAAAATTTATTTTTAATTCTTCATTATCTCACATCTGTCCATCAAACCTATCTCGCACAAGCCGCCTCGGCGCCTCGACTTTGTCTTTGCCTCACACTCGACCGCCTCTACCTTGCATTCCCCATATTTTTAAAAACAAATTAAATACTTTCAATGATTTGGAGTATTTACTTTGTCAAATTTTTTAATTAAAATAAGTTCGTTATAATAACTTTTCTTTACTTTGTTATATTGGAGTATTAATCACAATAACTTCTTTCTTCCATAACTTTCATCCAACCAGATAAAAGAATTTAGGTTTTCTTCAATTCTTTCATTTTCATTTCTTCCAACGAAACAAACTGGTATAGGTTAAACAGTACTTCATCTGTCTCAAAAAGATTATAACATTAAATGAAGCAATTTTTTGAATCATTTCAAATCATTTTATTTAAAAATGGTCTAGAAATAAAACATAAAACTTACAAATTTAAAAACTACGTCAAAAGTTCTATAGAACAAAAGATGACAAGAATATTTTACTTTATCAAATAGTTAATAAAAACGCGAAAATAAATAAAAATTCTCATGATTATTAAATAGTGAAGTGTCGCAATCTTTTTGAAATGGAGGGAGTAATAGTTAGAAATTGAATTATTATTATTATTATTATTATTATTATTATTATTATTATCATCATCATCATCATCATCATCATCATTATCATCATCATCATCATCATCATCATCATCATCATCATCATCATCATCATTATTATTATTATGTGAACAATAATACTTTTCTATTAGTACATATATATTGTTCTTATTTTACCCACTCACACGCTCCACATGCATTTTGAACACACTGCAAAACCGGTATTGTAGGTGGAGCCGTGGAGGAGAGCTCCTCCAATTGAGCTTCATCTCCTTGTTAACCATATATTGTCATTCTTATGGATTTAATTAGTTAAAAAAAGCTATCAAAAGTAGGTCGAAGGGCTTCGAATATAGCACGGTATGCCGCCTCTGTTGAATGAACGGAGTCCCAAAACACGTAATTTGACGTGTTTGGACAAATCGAACTTGCCACATTGCAAAGAAACGATAGCTCAACCGCACCCGTCCCACAACATCCATTGTTAACAACCTCAAACCCTAATGTCATAATACAATAATAAACTCAGTAAGATTTCATAAATTCCGTAAAATTCTACAAAAACTAAGTCCCAAATGACACAATAATGCATGAAATGACAACATTGGATGAATGTGTGGGATATATGTTTAGTCAACTTAACTTTGACACTATATAGTAAGTTCTTTTGACATTGGTTGATGGCCAATGTCATAGGCTCATTGTATGACATTGGTGTATATTAGGTCCCTACGTTGCTATGTTCGACCCGAAAGTGATTCCCAATCCTTCTAAATAACCCACTACTCAAACCCCCACCCCGTAGCTTGCCCCCCTACACCGGTCTGACTCCAACTTCCCACGCACCCATGTGGGGGTAAAAATTATTTTCGGGTCGAACTGAACATTGTAGATATCTCAATGGATCCAACATTATAATACTCGTATGATATTAAAATCTAATGTCAAAAGAACCATTGTGATAAAACTATTGAAATGAGAAATAGAAGCACTGATAGATACCCAATCCAATGCACAATAACAATTCTCCTCTTTCAAAATGCATTTCTCATCCCACAAATGATGGTAATTAGAAACACATACAAATTGATCATTACCTAAGAGAATAGAGACATTTTGGAGGATAAAGAGAGTAAATTAAATAAAAACTATTACCGTATTTAGCAGGCTGATGAATCAAGTCCCACGTAATGTCATAAATATCAAGATAAACAATCTTAGAACCCTGATGAGAATAGTTCTGCTGCATGGTTTCAAGAAAGGTTTGGAGTTGAGAGTTGAAATCTTTGTTGACAGAAGAGAAGTTGTCAACACAACCACGACTTTTTGCATTACTCTCATTGGAGTGCTTTGTGATGACAATAGGAATACACCCAATGGGTGGCAACCCTACCATTCCTATCTTTCTTGCACCTTCATCAACCAACTCCTAAGTAAAGGTATATATATATATATTAATAACTTCACACAATATGATGAAAAATAATAATCTGCTTCACAATGATAGAAAGAGCCAACATCAAAGGATAAGGGTGAACCCAGAAACCTCATATAGTGGGGTCACAAAAAAATAAAAGCTAAAATAATAACAGCAAATGCTAAATATTATAAGTATTAAATCATACCTCAAAAAGTCATATTACACAAGCATTACAAAAGCACTCTCCTAGGCTTCATTGTGGGGTCACAAAAAATAAAAGCTAAAAAAATAACAGCAAATGCTAAATATTGTAAGTATTAAATCATACCTCAAAAAGTCATATTACACAAGCATTACAAAAGCACTCTTCTAGGCTTCATTGCTTGAAAATATTGCATGATATCACCATCTTTGACATTATCGAAACTTTCAACTCTCTATATAAGTTAACATACGAGCATTAAACCACTCATCACATATTTGACTGCGCAGTTCATCCTTGACCAAGTTCATTGCTGAAAATACACGTTCCGCACTAGCCGTTGCGACTGGTAAGATCAAAGCCAATTTCACCAACAAATAAATCATGGGATAAGCAATTTGTTTTTGCTTCTCAACCATTTTTTGAGCAAGATCTCCTATTCCTTTCAAATTGGCAAAGTCTTTATCACTTTTCACATCAAGAATAAAAGTTTCGAGAGAAGAGGAAAGGAAAGAAAGATCACAAAACTCGTCAAATTCCCCCGGATAAAATTTAGCAAGCTCAACCAACTTCTTTGTGTCAAATGTAGCAAATGAATTCCGCGGATCAAGAAAACTCAAGCATTCAATTAACTTTGTGCCGACATTGTCAAAACGATCATTCAATTCAAGAAGTTGTTGGTCAATCACATTATCAAATAACTTCACTTTGAAATACTCCCAAAACTTGAATGTGGATGCATTTTGTCTAGATCTTCTTTTCGGATAATAGAAATCTCTCACATTTGGAATATGAATATCATGCTTCTTACAAAACTCCATTACCACATCAAGTAACTTCTCAAAACCAACACTTTTCCAAGTTTGCAATCTAACTTTTGCAATTCTCACTAAAACAATTACATTAAAAAAATCTTGTTCTTTTCTTTGCAATGCCTGAGACAGCTCCCAAGTAATCCCCAAGACTTTCTCCATCAAATGCAAAACGAATATAAATTCAAAGTCATCAATAATATTCAGAATGGTGGATGCTTCTGTTCTTAATGCATCATTCTTGGGATCATCCTCGATGATATTCATCAAAGAAACTATATGAGAGAACAATGTAATTACACTCACAATTGTACCATAGTGGGAACCCCAACGTGTGTCACCCGATCTTCTCAAATCAGTTTCTTGATCTGAATCTCTTCCAGACACATCACCATAAACAATCCTTTCACGCATCAATTCGTATTGATTTTCCTGAAAAATGTCTCTTCTCTTACATGAGCCATTAACAACATTAGCCATTTTTTGAAGAATGTCAAAAAAATCTTGAATTTTTTGATCGCTTTTAGCAACCTTTATAAGCGCCAATTGTAATGGATGAGCGAAACAATGAATATAATATGCGGACTTATTTTCATCCAAAATCAAATTTTTAAGACCACTAAACTCACATCTCATGTTGCTACCCCCGTCATATCCTTGACCACAACACTTTGATAAACTCAAACCTATTTTAGCAAGAAGTCCATCAATTGCGACTTTTAATGAGGCAGATGTAGTACCTGAAACGTGGATAATTCCAATAAAGTGCTCCATAATTATGCCTTGCTTGTTCACATAACGCAAAATCACAACCATTTGCTCTTTAATTGATGCATCACGAGCTTCACCAACAACCAAAGAATAATAATCATCTCCAATTTCGCTGAATATTGCCTGTAATGTTAAATCAGCACAAGCAATTGCAAGATCTCTTTGGATTTCTGGAGATGCCAATTTGTTATTCTCGGAAGCATTATTCAAAACTACACTCCGCATCTCTTCATTTGGCATGGCATAAAAATTCAAAGTCTCAAGAAACAATCCTTTTCTATTTGAACTTTCTGACTCATCATTACTATAAGAAGGAAGACAATTTCTTAAAAGAAATCTGACACAGCTCAAATACGTCTTCGAATGGATACAATTATCTTCTTTTGCTTGGTCAAAAATGATGTCAACATCTTTCCTTCTATTCATCGAATTCACTGGAAATCTTTTTTCAAGATCTGCTTCAAGAATTGTTGTGTGAATTCGATCATGTATTTCTTGAGTTGGGAGTTGGGTTTGAACTTCTTCAATCGGTGGTGTTAGTTGAGTACTTTCATTTGGAGATTGTGGTTGAACTTCAAGCTCGATTACATGACCTTGTAGAAGTGTAGGTTTTAATCTTTTATAATAAGATTCTAAACCTAAGATCACATAAAATAGTAAATCATTAATATTATAATTTTAAATGCAATTCATACTCAGTAATTAATACGGAGTACAAAAAATCACAATTAGTACTACGTATATTGTAAGTGTTACCTTTCATTGTCAATTGAATTAGAGATGACGATTGACAAGCTAAGGGGCAGGGCTTACGCTGATTCGCTCAGGGTAACGACGGACTGGGCTGGCGGAGGGAGTCTGGCGAAGTGGCGAACGACGGTGAAATCACCGTGGCGGCCGGAGTTGCTGCCCGACCGCGGAACCGCCCCTAAGTGACCGCCGTCTACGGTTGCGCTGCAGCCGCGGCTGTAAAGGTTGGAGTGTTGGACACGGACAAATCACAAATGGTTGACTTGACGAGCTGGGGAAGGAATGAAGGATCGAAGATTCCACGGAGAGGAACTAGGGTTGGGGGCTGGCGCTGATCAAGCATCTGCGCGTAAGTGATGCGAACGAAGGAGGAGGGATATCCACAAGGCTAGTACAAATTAGGCTAGTTTACACAATTAGGGCATGGAAATAAGCCGGTTTCAAACCGGGACTTCAAACCTTCATTTTTACATTTTAAATACACATCTTCTAAAATTAAATTCAATAAATTTAAATATTTAATTATTTAAAAGAATTGAAACGAGAATAGTTCATTAAAAAATTGTATTCATTATAAAAAATTACATTCATTAAATAAAAAATTACATTCATTATAAAAAAAACTACATTCGTTAAATAAAAAAATTACATTCATTAAATAAAAAATTACATTAATGAAAAAATAAAAAAATTGTTGAATAATAATTTTTTAAAAAAAGATGATAGAGAAATTTGTATTTGTGTTGAATTTTTTTAAAAAAAAAGTTAATTTAATTTATAGAGAAAAAAAGATGGAAAAAAAAGGAGAGAAAAGAAGGAAGAGGCGTTATCACGCCTTCCAATTGCGTCAAAACTAAGACGCTGGAGTTCTAACACCCGGATAACAGGGAAGGGGGCGGTATTTAACGCCCCCAGGCGTCAAACGGAGCATAACGTGGGTGGGCGTTACGCCCATTGCCACTGCTCTTACACTCTAAAAAGTATATGACTCCTTTATTGAAAAAAAATGAAAGTACAATTAACTAAATAGTTTATTAAACCTTACTTTATATAAAAAAATGAAAATAAGATGGTATTTTGAATGTTTGTTGATATTTTTATATATTCATCTACAAAAAACTAAAAGTCGAATAAAAATATAAACTACATACATAATAAAATTTGAAATAAATATTCAAAATAAATTTATCATTTAATGAAAAAACATAAAAAGCATATTATTTTTTATACTGTAAAATATTACCCCGGAGTAGTATATAAGTTTCATTCGGATTTTCTACGTGGAAAGTTACCCCGTATCCTTCTCAAAAAATTAAAAACTAGCAACGTATGTTGTTAGAATTTGTTTAAATTGACATAGAGAATTACAGTATTTGATAACCACACATTATATTTGATGGATACCTGAAATTTTTCCTCATACTATTGACCAGTCCGGAGTCCAATTTCACTATCCACATACTTTGGTTTCCATTCAAGTGGGCACTCCTCCTTGGTTGACACTGCCTCACTGTGGAGGCCGGAGTAACTCAAGAGGAAGCATTCGTTGGAATATTCTTTTATTACTCTTCACTATATTCCTTTACTCGGTCAGTAAAGGTTTTCTCTATAATTACATTCTCTTCCGAATATCCTTGTATAGGGTGAAGAGGAGCTTTCTCGAGGCTGAGTTCTTCTCCCCTTGCTGTTGGCTCAATCCTTGTCACTTCATGCTTATTATTATTCTCTTTCCCTCAACCTATTGGATTGGGTACTCATTATGGGCTATCCCGTTACCCATTTTTATTCGGTCCCCCGGCCATAGTCTATTTTAGGGGTGGGCAAACAGATCAAGGAATCGGGAGTCGGAACCGAACCACTAGGTTCGGTCCAGGTTAGGTGCGGGTCCTCTTCTTAAAAATTTATAACGGTTTGGGTCGGTCCGGTCTTTATAAATTTTAGGGTCAGTCCGGTTCTCCATTTTGAAATTATATTGGACCCGGACCAAACCGTATTTAATATCCCAATATTATTTTTAGTACAAACACACTTTTTAATACCCCAGTCTTCTTTTGTTGTTGTTGTTGGATGATCATGGGGTTTACATTTTACTCTCATGCCCCCTTATTCATTGTTTAAACTTCATTTAGGCCTCTTTTTTGTGTTTGATGACTTAAAATAGGCAATGGAGATAGTACATTGTTGTGAACTAATGGTGAATGACCATGTATGTATTATTATTATTTTATTATCACTTTATTTTTTTTTAATATTAATATCATGATAGGTTCGGACCCGTGGAATCGGGCCGTTTCAAACAAACCGGGTTAGGTCCGGTTTCAATTTTAAAATTTTGAAACCCGTTCCGGCCCGGACCGTTTCAATAAAAACAAGTCGAGTCCGGTTTATACAAATCTTGGCTCGGACCGGCCCGTGCCCACCCCTAGTCTATTTCTTACTATTACAGTATTACTACTCAGAGGATCATGATTTAGGCCCGTCTCTATTATTTTTATACGGATGGGCCTGATTCTCATCAATATTCATGACCCAAACCAAGAATAAAGTAAAATGTAAAATTCTTATGGGGAAATCAAAGAGAGAATATGTATACTCTTTCCGTCCCCATTTTGGTTACAATTTTATTTTCATTCTCTTCTTGATAATTTTTGTTTGTTTGTGTGTTTTCAGTGATTATTTGATAAAATAAAATATTCGCATCACCTCTTGTAATAATTTTTATTCTTTATTGATAACTAATTTATAAATAAAATTAATTAAAAAACAATGAGATTTTAAATCATAATTCTCATTTTGTAATACAAATAGTATGAATTTACCTGGAGGAATTGCTGGACAGAGTGGCGGACATAATCAGCGTAGCCCTGGAGAGTGTAAGTGTTGTTTCGGAAGGGTACGATGTTGCCGTCATAGTTGAGAGCGAAGTCGTTTGTCCCCGCCGTACTAACCAAGAAAAACGCGTCATTCACCAGAATCTTCGTGTCAACCATCCCTATTGATTCCTCCATCTGCTTCTTGTATGCCCTGAAGTTCTCCAGCTGCTTTGGCAGGGATATCACATTCTTTTTTTTTTTCATCATATCCAAAAAAAAACTAAATTAATAATAATATATAATGTATTTTGTTCCGGGGAATTTCGACCTTAGAATGACTCGAGGTCTCGTTAGTAAAATTGATGGTTCATATCCTTGATCTGCACCATCTAGATCGCCAATTTGGAATGGCCAAATCGGCGATCTAGGAGAATCGGGGTACTATACATCGGGGATTTAGAAAAGATATAAATCTTATTAAATCTTAATCTACCTATCACATCATATCTATTCATTATTAATCTAACCATCAAATCTTACTTTTATTCATCATATCTAATGACATTTTTGGAAACTCAATACCAAAATATACTCCCCTTGAATTTTTTCAAAATCTAATTTTTTCATGTTTTCAGGGACGGAGAAAGTATGTACTCCATCCATCTCATAAATATAGGGATGATTTGACTAAAGTTGTAAAATAAGGAGGGATAATTTTGTGTTGAGTTTCCAAAAATACCTTTGATTGGTTAGGTAAAAGTAGGATGTGATGTGTAGATTATTATGAAAAAGATATGATGTGATAGGTAGGGTATGAAAAAGTAATGATTAAAAGTGATTTTTTAATAGAAATGGGAAAGAATTTTAAGAAATACGGAGTTCAATTTTTTTTAAACGTGAAAATCTTTATGAGACGGAAGAAGTATAAAATATTACCCGAGTATTTTGGAAGTGATGGAAATTATAAAGAAATAATCCGTAATAATAATAGAAGAAAAATAAAAGTACAAATACCAAAATTTTTGCAGTGAGATTATCGAAGCCGGTCCCTGCGGAGGCGAAGCAAACTCCAAGCTTCTTCTCTTCATCGCTCACATTTGGATCCAAATATGGGGGTATGAATGCTTTTAGACCAAGATGCCTTGCTACATACATACGTACATACGTACATACATACATTATCCGCGTGTTTTTGCAAGAATATCAATGAAAAATTAATATTTTAACAGCATGGGGGCGGGCGGCATACGGTGGAAGTACAAGTATTGTTGTGAAATTAGACTTTTAGCTCTCGATTTAATACCGTCATGATAGAGGGTAAAAAAAGAACTATTCATGAAAAAGTACTTATAAAAGAAGGATCGCAAACGTAATGCTCCATCCGTCCAGATCTAATATTCTCATTTCTCCTTTTTCTCCATCCGGATTTAGTCTTTCCATTTCGATCTCATACTGCCTCCGTCGCTAAATCATTTATACTTTATGCAAAACGAAGTAAAATTTCAAGTTTTCCAATTTATTTTATTTGAAAATTGACATATAAATAAAAAATAAAACTTACACATTTAAAAAGTACATCAAAAGCTCTACAAAATATGAGGTGACGAAAATATTTTATTTCATCAAATAGCCAACGAAAACACGCAAATAAAAAAAAAATTTTGCAATTTTTTTTAAAAAGAAGTATGAAAAATATTTAGGGGACGAATGGAATATATATGTATGTTTGGACAATGAATACCCTCCCTATTTTTCTTTGCTCGGATTAAATCTTGCTGATTTTTTTTCCAAGACAAAAATTTTATTTTTTATTTTTATATGAATATGTTTTTTTTTCTTTCTGTTTTGCCCAAAACACAAGAGTGCATATTATACATGCCATCCATGTTAGGGGTACATTTTTGGTACACCAAAAGTGTATCCAAAGAAATGCACTTACATTTTACTCCCTCCGTCCTAAAACTTTCTTCCCATTTCCTTTTTTTCCCTGTCCTAAAACTTTCTTCCCACACCCTTAAAAAGGGTGTGTAATGTCTAAAATACCCCCACCTTCACATTTACGCCACAACCACCACACCTCCACATTTACGCCACACTATCTCTTATACTCTTGTACTCTTCGCCTCCTCTCTCTAAACCTAGATCTAGATCTCTCCATCTCGCCATTTCTGCATCTCTCGTCCTCGCCATCTCTCGTCTTCGCCATCTCTCGTCCTCGCCATCTCTGTGTCCTCCTCTCCGTGTCACCCTCTATTCGTGTCTCTGTAAATTCCTTCTCCCACAAAACCCTAGATCTAATCTTCATCCCCAACATTGATATGGATTCTCAGATTTCTAAGATTCAGTTACTTGTTGAATCTCAAATCGCTGAATACTATCAAGGGATGAAGCCCGAATTGAAGATGAGAGGTTTGAGAACGGAGAGAGAGAGACTATCGATTCATTACACAGTGAGGACAGAGAGAGTGAGTCCACTGAGACCAGCTCTGAAGTTGGCATAGTTATTGCTGACAGCGAATACGAGGAAAGTGAGATGGAGGATGAGCAGATGCTAAGCTTTGGGAGCGAATTGGATGAAGAGCAGCCAGGTCTTGAAATGGGCAGCCACTCCAGTCTACCGGAAGAAGGGGTTGGTGCGGCTCAACCAATTACAGGCTTGCTTAGCTTTCTCATCGGGAGTGGAAAGTGAAGTTACTCTTTCTTTATTCTTTGCATTTTCATGGGTAGTTGCACACATTATACTACATACACAGCGATGATGAACATGTGATTAAGTTGTCTAGTTCAAGTAGTTCATTAAGGTACATAATGCGAGTGGTAGTAAAAGAAAACCTACTGGAGTACATTTCGAGTGGTTGCCTTGATGGTGGGACAAAAAAGTCAAGGTCTTACTAACCTACTCTTCATTACTTACATATACAAAATTCAAAAGCCAAAAACATGTACCCAGTCATTCACAAAAAAAACCCATTGGTGTTATGAAACACACTCAGTTCATTTCTGAAGATGAGAACTCTTCTCCATCTTCATTCATGAGCTGATGCAATACTTGCTCTTCATTTTGTACAGACCTATTGCTCAGCACCCTTACTGTCTTCTCCAATAGTGTGTGGGGTACATTTAGAGTCACTGGTAGTGTTCCTTCTCTAGCTAACCTGTCCTTTGGCATATGTGGTAGCTTGTACTTGTTTCCTCCATCATTATTCATTACTTCCTGCATCACATGTTGGTAGCTCAACCATACTTTGTTCAATGTTTGTGGAGTAAGTGCGGCATATGCACCCTTAACTGCCTCAACTAGCTCTGCCACATTTTTAGGAGCAGTTTTCTCTTTCAGTGATTGGATGACTCTAAAAAAACCCAAGTCTAGAATGTTGAGGTCTGGGGAGTTGGGGGTTGGTTAGTTAGGATGATGTTGAAGCCATTCCCACTTGCTGCTGCCATAAACTCTGGATCTATGGCAGAAATGTGTGGCTTTGCATTGTCTTGCTGGAGAAGTATGTTCCTATCCAAGAAAGAGGGTCACTTCTCCCTAATTGCAGGGATAACCTGGTTCACCAGCATATCTTTAGTCACTTCTTTGGTGACACTCAGAAGTTGTTTCACTTCTAATACACCTGCCTCCCTGTTTTTACTCTTTCTTTTAGCAGCCACAGTTTCAACAAAAGGAAATATTCCAATTTTTCCATCCCATAAAATCTCTCCATTCTCTGATATGAATGGTCTACCAACAACACATAAGAACATGACCTTAGTTATGAAGCGTTTANCACTTCTCCCTAATTGCAGGGATAACCTGGTTCACCAGCATATCTTTAGTCACTTCTTTGGTGACACTCAGAAGTTGTTTCACTTCTAATACACCTGCCTCCCTGTTTTTACTCTTTCTTTTAGCAGCCACAGTTTCAACAAAAGGAAATATTCCAATTTTTCCATCCCATAAAATCTCTCCATTCTCTGATATGAATGGTCTACCAACAACACATAAGAACATGACCTTAGTTATGAAGCGTTTAAACTTGCATGTTCTGTATGGATCCATTTCATCATTGGTAAGATAATACTTCTGTGATGTTTTAGACATGAAAAACCACTTCTCATCCATGTGCAAAACATTGTGAAATGTTTTAAATTTGGGATTACATGGGATGCTAGTGGGTTCCAATTGATTGAAACAGAACTGCAATCTATTCAACATGTTTTCATCTGTTAAAAAGGGTTTGATTGCATTTGAATGACTTCTTAGCAAACCTCTTGTAATACAAAGATGAATTGTTGATTTAGACATACCGAGGGAAGCTGCCAGTGAACTAATGGTTGTCCTTTGGGCAAGAGGAGTGTTTCCAATGGTCTCAATGTCTATAGAAACTCTTTTTCTGCCTGAATTCACTGGAAGTCTGCTTTTCACATCAATGGCAACACCCTCTAGTGGTTGTTTTCTAGCTCTGCTCCATATGGCACCTACTGTCCTTCTTGAAACATTAAAATCTGCAGCAACTTTGCTGATAATCCCTTTCTGAGCTGTGTACTGCCCTGAGATGTTCTTTCTTGAATATAGTAGGATGAGTTCAATAATTCTTTGTCTTTGTGCGTTGGATAGTCTTTTGGTAATTTCTTGATGTTCACTTTGCAGACTCTCATGACAGCTTGGGTTGAAAGAGGGAACAAGGGAAACAATGAAAGCAGAATGGTGAGAGAGAGAAGCAGGAGAATCTGCCACATGAGGGGACATAACTGATGGGAAGAGAGGAGAAGGAAGGAAGAGTATTGGGGTTACTAAAAGTAGAAAGGTTTGCTTTTTATAGTGTAGTAGTTGCAGGAGAATATGCAGTTTTTGGAGGGATTGACTGTATTTTGCAGGGAAGTTTCCCTCCAAACTAAAATTTTGGAGGGATTGACTGTATTTTGCTCCCTCGTGACTGTAATGCTAGTGGATTTCATATTTTTGCTTTACAAGGGGGATGTCCTTGTTTATGTTAAATTGTTTATGTTAAATTGAATGTTTTGTGTTTAATAATTAATGGAATGTTTTGTGTGCTTTTCTCCCTAATGGCGTATTTTTTTTTTCAATTTCCAACTTTTTTTGTTAGATGGGTAAAATGAGAAGTCAAGACCTAATTATACAACCCCTTAAAAATGAAGAAAAGTCAACCCGGGAAGTAAGTTACTAAGTTTTAGGACGGAGGGAGTAACAGTTTTGCGCTGACATTTTTTGTCAATGTAAAATTGTAAATCATCACACTAACATCGCACTAGCACAAAATGTCCGTGCAAATCTTTGGACTACAAATAATTTTGGTGTACAAATAACATAATCCTATACATACCGAGCATATCAGGCAAGAGGATGCCATTGCTGAACCTGCCAGTGGGCTTGTGATTAGGGTAGTCCCTCCCGTAGGGCAAGAAGTCGGCCTTCGCAAGGGTCATTATGTGGTTGTTATTCCCGGCGTCCACCGTCGAGTCACCGAACACAAAGATCGCCGAAACGTTTGATGACGGCGGCGGCGACGACGACGACCACTCCTGCAGGGCCCCACTTGATGGTGCCTCCGCGGATGCCAACACGACGTCGTTCTTATTATCACCATCGTAAGTAGTAAGTAGTTGTAGGGTGATTATTTGGAAAATAATAATAATAATAAGAGATGGTGAAATTTTCATTGCAGTCATCACAAGCTTTGCATTGATTATGCCAAGAAATTGAGATTAATTGAGCTCGATAATAATACTCCGTATATAAACACTTTTATACTCACTCCGTCCAAAAAAAATTCTTTCCTATTTGATTTTTTTAGTAAATTTTTTTAAATTTAACTCCTAATTACGTAAAAAATATACTTTGTATTGAATTGTTTTATAAAGTTAATAATAGGTTTATTATAAAACATACTTTGAAGTTTTATACGGAGTATAAACATTACTCCGTATAATTTTATATTATACTCCTTCCGTTTCTTAAAATACTCCCCCTTTCATAATTTGTTTTTCTTTAAACACTTTTACTTTTTATTAAAAAATCACTTTTATCTCTATTTTTTGACAAACCAATCACATCATACGTTTTCACTAATAATCTATTATCATATCTTACTTTCACATCACATCAAAGACAAAATTGGAAAGGCAACCACAAATGTACACCATTTGTTTTTCATAAAAGTCAAAATTGGAATTGTTTTATGAACAAAGAGTATATCAATATACTAGTATAAATCAAGATATATATTAATGGTCAAAGTACTGTACTAAAGAAAATATTTTTCTCTCTACCCCTCCCTCACACACACACTCCATAAATTAGCGTAGAAATTTTCAACATGAAGAGTGAGAAGAAGAAAAAAAGAGAAACACAAATATGAGTATGTCTACATAGACGTTACTCTTATTTAAAAATAAAAATATGGTTATCAGAATCATAAATAAAATAACAAAAAGGAAAAAACAAAGGGCAATTACTTTTGAAAACAACAAAGGGTAATTTTAGATAAAAAAACTGTATTTAATTTAATTTAATAAAGTGACCAGACTACTTCTAATGTCTTGCTAGATCTCATTGTCCATATTGTTAACAGGTCAGATTTGCGATCTTTTTTTATTTTCTTTAATTATTTGATAAAATAATATTTTTCTCACGCCACACCTCCATGCTATCCTCGTTAATTCAATGTGGTGTATATTATATCTCCCTTGAGAAATACTTCACACTTTTCTTGGTTATTTGTTTCAAAATAAATTTAATAGTTCTCAAATTCTTTAAGAAAAATTTATATACGTGCAGTAATTGGCGAATAAAAAATCTTTTCTTAAATAAATGCATTCTTTTTTTTAATGTCTCAATTTTTTTGCCCAAAAAAAAAATATGTTGCAACTCGGTTAAGCTATTGTTCCATTAATTAAGTAGGTGTTGCGCCTGCATGAAACGCACATATTGGATCATGTCAATTTCATGATAGGGAGATGCTAGGTCCTCAAAATTTATTTAAAGTTGGGTATACCAAAATAAGATACTTCATTCATACACTAAGTAAAAATAGAAATGCACAGAAATTGATTATCTGTGTGTGTGTTTTTGTTTAATGTACAAACAGGATAACCAATTTTGGTCTATCCCTAACATTAGCCAAATTGTATTACAATTACAAAAGTGTTTGTTTATGCATTTTTTTAACTAAATAAAGCACAAAGACTTATCACCCAACTGTCACTTCAAGGATCTTGTTGTAAACATTATGTCTCTCACAAATGAGAAATCATTTATTCAGTCCCCAAAAATTGTTTGATTTCCAATAGGTTAAAAAATGTATGAACATATAATGTCTTGTAATAGAGCTATTGGTGTTATAAAAAAAAGTTATCACCCTACTTAATACTATCTTCGTCCCGAGATATTTGTCCACTTTGACTTTTTTTGGGTCAAATTTGGTAACTTACCTCAAATTAAATAAAAATGAAATTAGACATTGATACAGAAATAGTTTTATTAGATTTATTATATCAAATATTTTCTAAATATTATTTTATCCAATTCATACATAATACGGAGTATAATTTTATTTAATTATAAGTCAATGGTTGAAAACGTTTGACTAAAAAAGTCAAAACTAGACAAATACTCTGAGACGGAGGTATTAGTAATCATGTTAATTTTGAGACCTTATAACAAATAACTACAAGTAAACACTCAAAAGGGGGGTGGGGGGTGGGGGGGGGGGATGATACTA